CTTCCCTAGAACCAGCAGTTTTCATCTGCTAATAAGAAGCAGACCCAAGCTGCCGGTTTGCTTCAGTCCGGTGCCCCCTTTCTCGGAAATCCCCCAATCTGGAAACTATTAAAATCAGACTGCTTGAAATATAGCCCTTTAATATCTCAGGCTGCCCATTCTGTCGAGGGTGCAGGGTGTTGCTCTCAATACTCAGAAGATACCACCATAAAAGAAAATAATTGGGGATCCCAGCCCATGTGCTGCATCCCCCAAAGCAACACCTTACAGAACTGTTGAGACACTTGTAGGAAACCCGTGTCTGCCCTCATTACTGGAATCTCCTACCCTCTCCTCGCGTTAAGCACTCCAACTTGGGAGTCTAGAGGAAGGTGGGAATGGGTGGAAATTTTTGTTCAGATATTTTGAAGGCCACTCAAGTCACAACTGTGCATCAGTAAAGCATTCCTTCCTCTTTCCCGCCTAGAAGACCCCTTCTCCAATTCTAGAAGCATTGTTTTCTTGGTCCTTTGGGAAGGTGCTTCACCTGTACTTTTGTCTCTTTTCTCACTTCCTGCTCTTCTTTGGCCTTTCTGCTGTTCTGGAACCCGGGCCCCAGTTCCACACTTGATAGAAGCCTCTCTCTCTCTCTCTCTCTCTCTCTCTCTCTCTCTCTCTCTCTCTCCCTGCTTTCCTTTCTCCCTCTCTGGACCCCAAGATGCAGACTTCTCTCCCAGTCTGAACCGGGCGGTTTTTCCGGGTTTCCACCCTGCCTCTGCTCCGGGGCCTGTCGCCTCCCCTTGGCGGCGCGGCCTGCTTCTGTAGCCTGCCCGGCGCTGAGCTGGCCTTGCTGCGGCCCCCAGGAGAGAGGTAGGAACCAGAGCAGGTCACCCGTCCAGGCCACTGTTCAGTCGCAGCTCAGCGTCATGCATGCAGGTCAGGACTGCATTGGATTTTTATTCATTGTCACTTATGAATTAAAACAACACGACGCACATCTAGGGAAAGAAATGCAATCTGGCGGGAGAGAAGGGCTAGCAAATGCCCTCCTCCCTTAATCTTCCCCTCCCACCTCTCCTCTGCTCTTTTGTCAGAATCACAAAACCCTAAAGGTTGTTCCACTTGGGAAGGCAGCGGATAGGTACATTTCCGCAGCCCCGAAATGCCACTTTTATGGCGCTGTTTGTCTCCCTGCGCTGGGCTCTGAATGGGGCCGAACAAAACAGCAGCGCGGAGCTGGCTAGACGTCTGGGCTTAATTGTTTTATGGTTTAAATAAAGTGGACACTCTTTCCTTTGAAATCGGATTATAGGAATGTTTTGTCTATGGCCCACGGAAAACAGGACCTCACTGGCTGGGAGGGAGAAGTGAAGAGGGGCTGCAAACCAGGGGCAAATAGCCTGCTGTAGTCTGAGTCGCACCCTAAAGTCCCGCAGGCGGCGGCGGAATAGGCGGTGAGGGGACAGCGTCAGGGTAAGAGGAAGGAGGAATGTAGGGTGCGCGCCACAGGCAGCGGTCGGGCGTGGGAGCTTCTGCTGTGCATCCGCGTGCTAGGCGTCCGGAGGCCAGAAATGCGCCTGAATGAAGGGGGTGGATATCGCTGTTCCTTTGCACAAGGAATAGTGCAAGAAGGGTGGTAACAAAAACAGCGAGAGTATGGAACCTTTTACAAGGTTTATTTCAAGAGCTTAGAAAACAAACAAACAGCAAAAACAGCGGTCGCAAGGCAACTCCCTTCCGGGGAATCCCTCTCCTTTGCACCCAATTGGAGGCTCCTTCCTCACATTTCCCACCTTTGGGCCAAGCCTGCGACCACGGTTGGCTTTTTCCCGGCCTGACTGCATTAGAGAAAGTGGACGCGAGGTGGCGCTGTTGCTCAATGTTAGAGGCGGCGTTGCCTAGGCAGGCCTGGCCGCACTGACATTTGAGGCCCGGACTAGAACCGCTTTGAGAAGGCCCCGAGCCTCTGCTCTGCCCAGCCCCACTGGCTCTAAGCAAATCAATCCCCTCACCTGCGAGGTGTAAATAATTCGCGGGTGGCAGCGGGAGATGAGCCCTCGCTGGGGCAGCGGGCTCGGGAAGGCACAGAAGGGCAAGCATCAAAAATAATCGCTTTGCAGAAGAGATAAGTGCGAAGCAGGCAGCGCGTAATTAACACAAAAAGGCGGAATGACCCGGACAAACGAACATAAATCCGTGGTACCTAAGAGGGCGGAGTAGACCTCAGGGAGAGGGACAGAGATCGCTGGCGAGGATAGCTGCTTGCTGTTCCTTTATTTCCAGGTTCATTGAATGAAATAAACCAGATTAGCGCAAAAGCAAAAAAATGAAATAAAATAAAATAAAGGTGAAGGATCCCTCCCTAAAGGGGAAACCAAGTCCTGCCAGGGGTTGTGGGGCTGGCTGGTTCTTCGGACAGGCGACAGTGGAGGCACAGGCACACTCTCGGGACAGTAGCATTCCAAGACACAAAAGCCCAGAAGAATAGCTCTGTGGCAGGGTTTTTTCACTGGACAATAAAATGTGGAAATATCCCCCCACCCCCTAAAAGATAAGGCGCAGGCCCAAGATCTGATCTGGCCCTCTGGGCCTCTTCTTTCGAGGCAGAGAAGAGAAAGTATTTATGGCAGTCTCCAGTGACCCAGATGCTGAGAGCTAAGAGCCCACCCTGTTCAACTCAGCACCAGAGGAGCAGGCTTAGAAAAGACAGGGCTGGAGCCGAGGATGCAGTGGCTTCTGGTTGTAGTGGTAGAGATGCCCCACCGCTGCCTTATCCCTCGGTATTTTGGCGCCTAGGGAGGCCTGCGACTCTAGGATAGTCCTTTCACTCCTCTGGGCCAGAGTCCTGTCATCTAAGAGTTTGGACAGCCTCTAACTCAAATAGGGTGGGCTCCCCAAATGCAAGGCATCCTGAAAAGGTCTTTGCTAGGGTACCAGGAAATCTCCTTTGGGAATTTGGCTGAGAGTGACCATTTCCCTGGCAATTCTTTAGATAATAAAGGGGCTGGAAAGGGAGGGCTCTTTCTTGATAAACCATCCTGCTCTGCGCTGCCGTTTCTTCCTCCGTCCCGATGGGCTCCGGATGAGAGGATGAGAAAGGAAAAGATCTGGTTTTCTAACCACCTCCTTCCTCCTCCAACCTGGAAACCTCAGGGTGTGGAAGGAAAACAGGTAGCAATTTTTTTTTTTCAGTGATGCTCTGCCTAAAGATACATCCGCATCAGTCAGGCTTCCGTGCATGGGTGACTCATGCATGTGTGTGTACAGTGTCTGGGATGTGACAAGGACACTTCCAGGAATGTCTGTGCTAGTTTATGGTGAGCATGCACTTGACATGTCTTGGGGTGAGAAGGTGGCACACACTGTGTGCATGTGTGTGTCCTGAGGGTGTCCCAGGATTGTCCTGAGTGTGACAGCCTCACATACTGTGGAAGAAGATCAGGGAAAAATCATTCATCTTCATCATCTTCATTTGTCTGCACACGGCCCACATATGTATGGCTCTCCCACTTTTTCCCTTTTTCTCTCTGTGTTAAACCCACACGACTGTATACTTATGGCCAGGAAAGGTGCGGATGGACTAAGCTTCTTTTATCCAGTAGAACTTGAATTTGTCTAGTTTTGAGACTGAAGGGAGCCCCCCCAGAGAAAGTGTGGGTAAATATTTGAAGAGTATCTGTTGACAGTTCCCATCCACATCCTGGCCTGGGCAGCTTGCCTGGGCAAGAAGGGGGTTGCAGAAAAACCATGAGGCCCCTCTAGGCTAAGTTGGCATTTCCTATGGGTGGGGGTATATGGGGACAAATAAGAGGCCTACTGCAGTCCCCTCCAACCAAGAAACAAATAGTCTCCTTGGAAGGATCAATCCAGCCAGAAGCCAGGGACACGAAGCTGTTCCTTCTAAGTCCCCATAAACAGCCTTGCTCTCAGACCCCCAGCCAAGCTTGTGGCCATTGCCTGGGCTTCCTACTCCAGGTAGGAGCTGGTGTCTGAAGGAAGGCTGTTGTGGTCCTGGAGTGGTATATGGAGTGCCCCCACCCCTCCAGCCCTCAACCCATAAGCAGCCAAGTGTGACAGTCTTGAGGATATAAGAAAAACAGGGCAGCTTCAGAGCCTGGGGAGGGGCCAGAGGCTGGAGGGTCTGAAGCCTGAAGTGTCTAGGGGACCTGGTGTTCTTGTTTCTCCCTCAAGTCCCCAGACTTAAGGACCCCTAGGGAGCTCATCTTTTGCATTTGGAGCTCCACTTAGGGTTTGCTGACACTCAGTCCCCTGGGGAGGGTCTTATACCTGTTGAGGTAACCTGAGTTGACCTGCTGATTCAGGTACCTCTCTCTCCCACTCTCATTGAGAAGGAAAAGAGAAGAGGGCGCAGAGAGGCACTTTCAAATCTGAATGCGTACCAGACTATTAGCTGGGGCTGGCTCGCCACCCCCTACACACCACACACCACACCCCCAACCCCCTCTCATCCCTCCCCTTCCTCCAGGTCCCCCCAGTCCTGAACCCCTCAACCCCTGCTAGCGCGCTCTCTCTCTCTCTCTCCCTCTCTCTCTCTCTCTCTCTCTC